CCCCTCCAAGAAGATTATATTTACGATTTTTAGAATGTCATTATTAGTATTCTTTGGATATTTGAGACTTTTTTCGGCACTAGGCCTTACTGCCCCCGCCGGTGAAATGATCCTGCGTACGGCCCTGCCTTTCTCATAGGCCAAAATGATTGAAGCTCTTGCTCCAGATATATGTAGAGCTCACTGGATTTCTGTAGTCAGAGTCTTTTATTAAGATTTTCGGCTGATCTGACAAAAAGCCTATTCATAGTGAGGGCAACCCCTGAAACCTCATCGGTAACACTTCGGTTCAACATGAAATACACCGACCTTAACTCATTAATAATACCGTATTTTCCTGGTCAATGTTCCAACATAAATCCACAGCGACAACAAGTTATCTTGCTTTACAAACTGGTTTGACTCGTCCACGATCATGGACTGAGGAAGTGTCAAATCTAGGCAGAGATCTCTTCTCCTTCGAGACCTCTGCCAACAGGGAATTTAAACGCATGCTAATGTATCAATTAACCAATGAACTTCATTTGTCATAAATTATTCAAATAAAGCACTGTCCGATCAGAGGCCTGTCCCCAAATCTGGGAACTATCCACGTGACCTGAACAAGGATTATGCATCCAACTCACAGACGTTCTCTGAAAATCTTCATATGCCCTCGAAAGTTTTCGTCTTTTCCACCCTCGAAAGCATTGTTCCAAAAAAATGTGTTTTTCACTGAAATATTTTCCTGTTTGCGAACATTCGAAAACAAGAAAAACTTCTTTTGAGACAAAACTGTTTGCAAACAAAATATTTCATCATTAAAAATTAGTTTTAATAAATATTCTATACAATCTTATATACAGGGTGTCCCCCAAAAAACGAAAACTATTGAAATAAATGTATTGTTAAAATTTGAATGCCTCTGCAGCATTCTTCTGAACCCACACGTGCATCAAAGCTTGACGCGTAAGTAAATTTTATGCATAAAGAAACCGTTTAAGAAGCTGTTTTAAATTCCCAACGGAGCAGAAAATCGTGCGCTAGCTTTACAAAGATATTTTAAGTTCTTAATAAGTCAATATTTGAATATATGCACCTTGTCAATATTTTACGCACTTTGCGTTCCCAGCTTAGTGCTAGGGCATTCAAATTTTAACAATACGTTATTTCAATGGGTTTTTCGTTTTTGGGGACACCCTGTACAGGGTATATACAAAAAAGTGCTGGGGCCAAGAATTATCGTGTCCACCAGGATACTGTTTCACAACAACATATACCTTCAAAAACGGCACAGTGGCTGTTACAAGATCCTGTGGCTTTATGCTTTGCCCCGATGCTCGCAGTACGTGCAACGGTCTAAACATAGCACGGAATCTAAAATACTGCGCTGCCGCGTGTTGTGAGACCGACAATTGCAACAATTATATACCCCCAAGGGCAATTTGTTCAACAGCAGCATGGCAACTGGTGTCGTGACTATCAAGTTTATTCCCTGTTTGATGGTTATTGCTGGTTTTCTTTTCGCTTGATGTACTTTGCGTTTTGTACGAGTCCTATAATGTAGTTTTGTAGCTTAATTCGTTTGCTTTAAACTGCTTATTCAAAACACGTTGTTTAATTAAAGAACTATATTTGTATTCATTTAGTAAGAGATCATGTAATAAATCAATGAAATTAAAGTAATCAGATCTACTAAATAAACTAGCTTTGGACAAAAAGCGAACTATGCCAATTTAATTGTTTATACGCGGAGTTGTTCTATCCGTTCTAAATTGTTCTCCCTATGCAGCCAGGTTTAGGAGGAAACCTAAACCAAACTATCTTTATTTTTACTGGATAACAAATAGCTCTACGGTTCTAACTGTTCTCCCTATAGAGGAGCCGACAACTTCTAGCATAGGCCTACTAACTTCTCCAGGATGGGCCTTTGCTCCAATCACTCGAAAAGTCGAAGTTCGTTTTGTATTTTCAGGTAATTGTACCTATCTCATATAAAAAACTCTGTTCATA